GATGAGGCTCTGAAGAAATATGAGCCTTCTGTGGTGAAGACAAGGAAATTGGATTTTCAACAGTAGTTTGGAGCCCACAGAGCACATGTTCTTCTCTGTTTGGTAACTTGGTGCTTTAGTGGTGAATGTGGCAGCAGACTTCGAGGTGGGTATTAAGGTTGTTGGAGTGCCTCTGTTAGGTGGTAAGGGTGGGGATGGATTTTTTTGTTTGTTTGTTTCTTTTTTAGGTAAAACTCTTTTTTATATTAAAAAAGATTAAGATAAAAGGGAACATAACAACACAGGTCAGAACACAACAATTTAAGCAACATAGTGTTTCACCACAAGACAATCTGACAGAACAGTAGCTACCATAGTGTCTCTTTCTTTGAAATAGTTGAGTATATCTTCAAATACTATAGTACCAAACATAAAAAGACAGTGTAAAACCACTCGAGAGAATGAAAGTATTACAGGGTATTCAGAACCAACTAACAGAAAATGGTTTCTATGTTATCTCCCTGTCTATAAAAAATTTTGTTTATACTATCACATATAATAAAATCCAATAAGATACAACATGATAAAACCAATGGAGACAGAAGAACAAAAGCTTGATGGGACTTCAAAACAAGATGATATTAAATCATCACTAGCTATTGCAATGTCTTAATTTTCTTCAAAATAGCTGTTCATACCATCACAGACACTAAAATCAAATAACCCAGTATAAAACCATTCCAATTAATGAATGAAAACATTATAAGGCTTCACAGCAATATAATGGGGAATGATGATTACCACATACTTTTATGTATTTTTACCATTTCTTACACTAGGGAAAATATTTGGTATTTATACATGTGAGTTTTATTATTTCATTTATGAGTATGGCCTCAAGCTGCTTCCATTTATTTATAAATATCTCAATATGATCATTCTTTATAGCTGGGTAGTACTCCATTGTATAAAAATACCACAACTTTTTTATCCATTCCTCAGTTGATGGACACTTAAGTTGTTTCCAAGATCTGGCTATTACAAATTGTGATACTATAAACATGGGTGCACATATATCACTATGGTATGATGTTTTCAGTTTTTCTGGGAAAATTCCTAGAAGTGGAATAGCTGAAACAAATGGGAATTCCAATCCCAGCTTTCTGAGAAATCTCCAGACTGACCTCCACAGTGGTAGCATCAGTCTACACTTCCACCAAAAGTGCAGGAGAGTTCCTTTTTCCCCAGGCCTCTCCAGCATTTGTTGTTGGTAGTTTCTTGATCCTGGCCATTCTTTCTGGAGTGGGATGGAATTTCAGTATGGTTTTAATTTGCATTTCTCTAATGAGTAATGATGATGAACTTTTTTTCATGTATTACTTTGCCATTTGTATTTCTTCATCTGAGAATTGCATATTCATCTCAGATGCCTATTTTTGGATTGGATCCTTGAATTTTGGGGGTCTGATCTTTTTTAATTCTTTATATGTTTTAGACAGAAGTCCTTTGTCTGAGGGACAGTGCACTAAGATTGTTTCCCAGTTTGTAGGTTTTTTTTTCACTATGCTAGAGATTTCTTTTGACATACAGAAAGTTTTTCATAAGACATGATCCCAGTTGTTGATTTTGGGAAGTATTTCCCATGTCGTTTGATTCCAGTTCATGAATTATCTACCTACCCCTATGTCTTCAAGGTTTTTACCAAACTTGTCTTCCAATAGATTTAGTGTTTCTGTTTTAATATTCAGATCTTTGATACATTTAGATTTTAATTTAGTACATGGTGATAGGCATGGATCTAGTCTTAGTTTTCAGCATATGGAGAGCCACTTTTTCCAACAGCATTTATTAAGAGACTGTGAACATGTTTATCAAAAATAAGATGGTTGAGTATGTTTGTAGTTGTGGTTGTATCTTCTAATCTATTCCATTGATCTTTGGCTCTGTTTTTTATTCCAGTATCATGTTGATTGTACTACAGTTACTTTGTAATGTCACTTCAAGTCAGGGATTGTGATGTCTCCTGCCTTGCCTTTGCTACTTAGAACTGTCTTTGCTATTCTTGGTCTCTTCTGGTTCCAGATAAATTTTAGGAGTGATTTCTCTAAGTCTATGAGGTAGGATGTTGGTATTTTTATTTGAATTGCATTGAATTTGTATAACAGTTTTGGGAGAATGGCAATTTTCACAATATTTATTCTTCCTATCTATGAGCAAGGGATGTTTTCCCACTTTCTGAGATCCTCTTCAATTTATTTTTTCACTGTATTGTAATTTTCCCTATATAGATCTTTTACTTCTTTCATGAGAATAATTCCTAAATATTTCATCTTTTGGTAGCTAGTGTGAAGGGTGTCATTTCTTTTATTTCTCTTTCAGTGATTTTGTTGTTAGTGTATAGGAATACTATTGATTTTTTAGTATTGATTTTGTATCCAGATATATGGCTGAATTTATCATATCTACGGGTCTTTCAATGGGGTTTTGGGTGTCTTCTATGTAGAGTATCATGTCATCTGCAAATAATGATAATTTAACTTCTTTTCCTATCTTTTTGCCTTTTATTTCTCTCTCTTGTCTAATTGCTCTGGCCAGTATTTCCAGTACTATATTAAATAGGAGTGGCGATAAGGGACATCCTTGTCTTGTGCCTGATTTTAAAGTAAAGGCCTTCAATTTTTGGCCATTTAGTATGATATTTGCTGTTGGTTTGTCATAGATGGCCTTAATTATATTGAAGTAAAGGCCATCTATTCCAATTTTCTGTAAGGTTATTATCATGAATGAATGTTGGACCTTATCGAAGGCTTTTTCTGCATCTATAGAAATGATCACGTGATTCTTACTTTTGGCTTTATTGATATGGTGGATTACATTTATTGATTTATGTATGTTGAACCATTCCGGTATACTTGGGATGAATCCCACTTGGTCATGGTGTATAATCTTCTTGAGGATTTGCTACATGCTATTTGCCAATATTTTATTGAGGATTTTTGCATCTGTGTTCATTAGAGAGATTGCTTTGTAGTTCTCTTTTCTAGTTGGGTCTTTCTCAGGTTTTGGTACTAGAGTAATATTTGCTTCTAAGAACGATTTAGGAAGGATTGCTTCCCTTTCGATTTCACTGAATAGTTTGAGGAGTGTTGGCATTAGGTCATCTTTGTATTTCTTGTAGAATTCTGCAGTGAATCCGTCAGGGCCTGGACTCTTCTTTGTAGGTAAAGATTTAATTACGTTTTCAATTTCATTAATAGAAATTGGGTTATTCAGTAGTTTTACATCTTCATGACCTAGCTTGGTACTTCTTATGCTTCTAGGAATCTGTCTATTTCTTCTGTGTTATCAAACCATTGAGAGTAGAGCTTTTCGAAATAGGTGTTGATGATCTTCTGTATTTCTATAGGGTCTGTAGTAATTTCTCCTCTTTCACTCCTTATTGCATGGATATGAGCTTTTTCTTCTCTTTTTAAAATAAGGTTGGCTAGGGGCTTGTTGATTTTATTTATTCTTTCAAAGAACCAGCTCTTTGATTTGTTGATTTTTTGGATTTTTTTTTTTTTTGGTCTCTATTGCATTGATTTCTGCTCTGATTTTTATAATCTCTTCTTTTGGCTTTGGGCTTGACTTGCTCTTCTTTTTCTAGATGTTTGAGGTGTAACATCAGGTTATTTATTTGTATTCATTCTGTTTTCCTAATGTGGGAACTCAGTGCAATGAATTTTCCTCTGAGGACGGCTTTCACTGCATCCCACAGATTCCAGTAAGTTGTATTTGTGTTTTCCTTTGTTTGTAGGTATTGTTTAATTTCTTCTTTAATTTCCTCTGTGACCCATTGATTATTCAAGAGTGTGTTATTCAGTTTCCATGTGTTTGTGGGATTTTTGCAGTATCTTTTATCATTAATTTCTAATTTCACAGCACTATGGTCCGATAGCATGCAAGGGATAATTTCGACCCTTTTGCATTTATTTAAATATGTTCTGTGAATTAATATATGGTCTATTTTAGATAATGACCCATGTACTGCTGAGAAGAATGTGTATTATGTTGTTGTTGGGTGATATACTCTGTATATGTCTATTAAGTCCATTTGTTCACAGGTGCGATACAGTTCTTTTATTTCTTTGTTGATTTTCTGTCTGGTTGATCTGTCCATTGGTATCAATGGTGTGTTAATATCTCCTGTTAGAATTGTTTTACTGCTAATTTGGTTTTTCATTTCTGTTAGTACTTGTTTTATATAACAGGGTGCTCTGGAGTTTGGTGCATATATATTATAGATAGTTATCTCTTCTTCTTGAAGTATGTAGTGTCCTTCTTTATCCCTTCTAATCATTATTGGTTTGAAATTCAGGTTATCTGCAAACAGAATAGCTACCCCTGCTGTTTTTTTGTGTTCCTGTTGCATGAAGTATTGTTTTCCACCCTTTGACTTTGAGTCTGTGAGTATTCTTTTGGGTTAGATGGGTTTCTTGTAGACAGCATATGGTTGGATTCTGTTTCTTGATCCATTCTGCCAGTCTGTTTCTTTTAATTGGTGCATTGAAACCATTTACATTAGTGGTTGTAACTGTTATATATTGGTTTGTTGTTGGCATATTATTTTTTGCTGTTGCATCTTTATCTTTCTGCTCTGTTTAATTGTCTGCTTTGTTTAGTGTTTTTTTCCTAAATGTATCTAGGCTGTCTTTCAGTATTCTTTGCAGGGTTGGCTTAGTGATCATGAAGTTTTTCAGCTGTTCTTTTTCATGGAAGTATCTTATTTCTCCTCAATTTTGAAGGACAGCTTTGCAGGGTACATCAGCCTAGGTTGGAAATCATTTTGCTCTAGGATCTGGAATACTTCACTCCATGCTCTTCTTGACTTTATTGTTTGTGCTGAGAAGTCTGCTGTGATTCTGATAGGTTTTCCTTTATAGGTGATCTGTCTTTTCTCTCTGACAGCTTTTAATATTCTATTTTTTTGTTCAGTTTCTGGGATGTTCATTATTATATGTCTGGGTAGATTTATTTTGGTTATGGGTATTTGGAGTTCTGTATGCTTCACTGATCTTGATATCAGTTTCTAATTTCGTGTTTGGGAAATTTTCAGCTATTACTTCTCTCAATATCCTCTTGACATGCTTTATGTTGTCCCCTTCTTTTTCATTTATCCCTATCAACCTTATGTTGTTCCACTTTGCATCATCTTGCAGGCGTTGAATTGTTATTTCCTGATTTCTTGTTATTTTTAAAAGATCTTTCCTTTCATGTTCACTAGCTGCAATCTTGTCTTCGAAGTCTGAGATTCTATCTTCACATTCATTGAGGAGTTTTTTACAACTTTCAATGGAGTTTTTAATTTCCTGTATATCTTTTTGCATCTGCTTTATGTATTCTGTTTGTTTCTTATATCCAGGGATTCTTTCTTTCTGTTTAGGTCCTCCAATTTTTTAACTGTGTCTTCTTTAGATATGTTCAGCATCTCCTTCATTTCTTTTATCATTTCTTCTTTTACCTGAGAGATTATTTCTAGTTTTAATTCCTTTAAGGTTTCCCAGAGTTGCTTCTTTATTTCAATTATTATTATTTCAGGTATTTCACGTATGTGGAATGTGTTTTCTTCTATGCATGTGGTTCCTAGGCTTTCTTGGGATGGGCTGGATATTTGATGTTGCATTTTGGTCTTTTGTTTTGTCATTTTCCTATATTTTTGAGCTTCAAGTGTTGTTCAAAGTGAGAAAGAGAGTTCCACCAGACCGTGTCTAGGCCCAACAGGCTGGGCTCACAGGAAACTGCGGCCTGGCCCCTCAGGCGAGGAAGAGTGTTCCCCTAGACTGGGATGGGATTCCATGCCTATGCCCAACTGGCTGGGCCTGGCAGGAAACCGCGCACTGGTCCCCAGTCGACAAAGAGAGTTCCCCGAGACAGGGCAGGATTCCTGGAGCAGGATTCCTTGCCTAGGCCCTACTCACTGATCCAGGCATGAAATCACACTGGACCCCAGGCAACAAAGAGAGTTCCCCTAGACTGGGGCGGGATTCTGTGCCTACCCAACTCGCTGGTCCTGGCAGGAAACCGCAGGCAGATCCCCAGGCAACAAAGAGAGTTCCCCCAGACCAGGGTGGGATTCCTGGGGCAGGATTCTTTGCCTAGGCCCCACTCGCTGGTTCCAGTAAGAAACTGCATGCTGGTCCCCAGGCAACAAAGAAAGCTCCAATTTCTTGTTATTTTTAAAAGACCTTTCTTTTTCTGTTCACTAGCTGCAATCTTGTCTTTGAGGTCTGAAATTCTATCTTCACTTTCATTGAGGCAGTTTTTACAACTTTCAATGGAAGTTTTGATTTCCTGTATATCTCTTTGCATTTGCTTTGTATATTCTGTTTGTTTCTTATATTATTCATCCAGGGAGTCTATCTTTTTGTTTAGTTCCTCTCATTTTTAAACTGTCTCTTCTTTAGATATGTTCAGCATCTCTTTCATTTGTTTTATCCTCTCTTCTTTTACCTAGGAGATTATTTCTAGTTTGAATTCCTTTAAAGCTTCCTGGAGTTGCTTCTTTCTTTCAGTTGCTATTATTTCAAGTATTTCAGGTGTATGGCATATGTTTTCTTTGATGTACATAGCTCCTAAGTTTTTTGGGATGGGCTGGAGGCTTGAGATTGTATTTTGGTCTTTATTTTGTCATTTTCCTATATTTCCGTGTTTCAAGTGTTGTTTCAAGACTTCTGCTGGGCCTGTTGGAAATCCTCTTCAATGCTACCAGCTTCTGGGACTCTGGCAGGCCAGTTCCCTGGATTGGGAGAGGGTTGCTGGGATGGGGCAGGCAGGCCCAAGCCCTGCTGAGCCAGTCCAGTGTGGCAGGAAGCCACAAAGTTCCCTGCCCGCAGGAGCAATGATCTTAAATAAACCCCCTCTGGGGGGGGGGCTCAGAATGGTGCAGGGTCACTCACCCCAGGCCACCCAGTCTCCAGAATTGAGGGTGCAGGCAGGCAGACCCAAATCCCTAGAGTTGGCTTAGCATGGCAGGAAGCTGGAAAGTTGGTGCAGGCAGGCCCTAGCCCTGCTGAGCTGGTTCAGTGCAGTGGGGAGCTGTAAACTTCACTTGTTGGTTGGAGCAACGATCTTAAACTCACTTCCAGGGCTTTGAATGGTGTGGGGACATTCACCCCAGGCCACCCTGTCTCCAGAATTCATGGGGATGGTTTTTATAACAATGCACCAGGGTTGTTATTTTGTAAGCTAGCTTAGAGTAAGGAGCAGGGAGTTGCTTGGCAGAAATGATGTGAATAAGGCTTGGGGCAACAGTAACATTAGTACTGGAAGGAGTAGCAAACAGAATCTTGGGTGTAAGGAAGCAATAATAAAAGAATTAAGTTTTAATGGCAGCTGTTGTGCCAGGAGGTGCTCTCGTGGCAGAAGACACAGGTAGAGGAGATGCACTTTGTTATGCTTCCAGAGAAAATGACATCTTTTGTTTGCTTTTACTCTGCTTCATTAGAAGAGGATAGGGTCTTTTCAGGGGGCTAAAAATTCTTAGAGTTATTTTTGTTTCATACTTAGGCTGGCTTTCAGTTGAGCCCACTTGCATTTTTTGGTGTTTTTCTGGAATAGGATTCTTAACATCTACCATTCTTATAAGAGACTCCAGCATCTGGGAATTGAGGGGAGGGGTAGTGGACCCAATACTGGAGGTGACTAGATTGTTTGTAAAATGGGATCCATCCAAAAAAAGAAAGCCAAAACAAAATAAAATGAGATATGTATACTTCCAAAAGGCTGGTAGCATAATAAAAGTTACCCAGAGTAACTTAATGTTCACACACAAAGTGCAAGAGACTGGTAAATTTGTGCCAATGCCCCTTTCAAAGTAAAAGCAATTCCTTGATAAACAAGTAATATTGGAATCTTTGAATAATAGATCATAATTTCTCAGTGTGTTCATTTATATGATCTTTTGTACATGCTAGACACATTTTAAATTCTTCTTTAAGCTTGTGCCCCATCTTATAGATGAAAAATGTTGTCTTGAAGAAGCTAAGAAACTTGACTAAAGACTGACTCTAGAAACAAATTCCCCAATTTTTCACTTCTTTTACACACCCACAGAAACTTCAGTGCCTGTATATAGGTTTTCTCATCTTTCCTCGCTTCCCTTATCAACTTGGTCAATCCCTAACTGCTTTACGGGAGTACAGAGCCAGGAATGATATGTCAAGAATAGTAAGTTAAAGCTCAGATTCCAGTATGCTCATAGCAGTGTTATGAGGGCAAATGAGGTATATCTGCCCTGAGTTCTGCTTTAAGGTGAATGGTTTTCACCAAGATGAGGCTTTTAAAAATGTGGGCTTGCTTATCTCACAAAAAAAAAATCCCAAGGCTATTTCAGGACTGGTTATACATAGTACTTTAGGCCACCTGATTCTGAGTCTCCTATTTACTGTAGGCATAGATAAAATATTTTTAATGGGTCTGATGTTGTTTATTTAAAATGTGAGAGAAAGGACTCCTGTTTTGGGCCTCACCAATGTAATAACTGGTCCCAGAATCAGAGAATCTCAAACCTTGCAACCACAAGATTTTTTCTTGATAATGCTGTGGAAAGAAAAACAAACAAGAAACTTCCAAATTCATTGAGAAGCAAGAAGGAGAGGAAAATAAAATTGATATGATAAATAGTCATTTCCCTCAATGTATGCAGTGGTTAAGGTAAAGGAAAAGGATTTTTGTCTTGAATCTTTGGATGTCTGTTTGAGAGTTCACAAAAATCTCTGGATGTGTTCCTCATCTTTCTTTCTATTCCTCTTCTCTTTTAAATCTTGTTCCCCTCTTCTGGAAATACTCTGATTAGCATATACTTAAGAAAGACATAAGGTAGGGGATTCTCCATCTCTTTCTCTGTCTTTCTACCTATCTATTTCTCTTTCCCTTTCTTCTACTTCTGCTTTCTCTAAAGACTGATATTGTTCCAAATGAAATGAAAATATGAGGAAGGGAAAGTTAGAGGTTGATGTTGAAGACACAGATTCTGTTCCAAATTATTTTCTGTCTCATATTAGGCATTAAAGTAAAAAGTTCTCTTTCTTCATTCAAATAACAAATACTCTGAAAATCTGAGTGAAAAATAAAAAAAAATTCATTGTCTTTCCTTGTTCTCTATGTAAGCTAATACCTTCCACATTTTACATAATTTATCACTGGATGTTTTGCTTCTAGGGCAGCCGTGTTATGGTGATTCCACCCCAGGAAAACCAAACAATAATAGTGGAATTTGTGCTTAGAGGATTCTCTTCTATCCTACAGATAAATGTTTCCCTTTTTATGATATTTTTAGTTTTCTACATCTTGATTATTTCTGGGAACATCCTCATTGTCCTCTTAGTTTTGATTAACCATCCCCTCCACACCCCCATGTACTTTTTCCTGGTAAATTTGTCCTTTCTGGAGATCTGGTATACATCCAACATTGTTCCCAAAATGTTACTAATTATCATTGCTGAACCGAAGACCATCTCTGTGACTGGTTGTCTGGCACAGTTCTACTTCTTTGGATCTCTGGCTGCAACTGAGTGCCTCTTGCTTGCTGTGATGTCCTATGACCGCTACCTGGCCATTTGTCAACCTCTCCACTATCCAGTCCTCATGACTGGCTCCTTCTGCATCAGTCTGGCTACTGGATCTTGGCTCTGCTGTTTCCTTCTGACATCAATCACTATGGTTTTGCTGTGTAGGCTAACCTTCTGTGGACCTAATGAAATTGATCACTTCTTTTGTGACTTTACCCCTCTGGTCCATCTCTCCTGCATGGACACCTCACTGACTGAGACCACTGCATTTGTCACCTCATCAATAGTGACTTTGGTTCCATTTCTTCTCATCATGGTCTCCTACTCCTGCATTCTCACTGCTATTTTAAGAATTCCTTCTGCTACAGGTCGGAAAAAGGCCTTTTCCACGTGCTCATCCCACCTCACTGTGGTCATAGTGTTTTATGGTACACTGATAGTCACATACCTTGTTCCCTCTGCCAACTCTTCCCAGCTATTACACAAGGGGGTTTCTCTTCTGTACACCATCCTAACACCCATGTTCAACCCTATCATCTATAGCTTAAGAAATAGAGACATCCATGAAGCTCTGAAGAAATGCTTGTGTAAGAAGCCAGGTTTCCTTAAATGAGGCAAAAAGGAAGGGCTGTAACAGGTGACCAGATGCTTCTGAGGATGACTGTGGACATGACTGAGTTCTGACAGTCTTAGGTGTATTATGTTCCAGGTTATGATCTAAGTATGTCATATTCTGCTCCATCATCTCCAGTAGTCTTAGATTCTTGTACAAAATCATATAGTCAAAGTAAACTGATAGGATTGTTCAAAATTCATTCAAATACACATGAAGTGTCTGCTATATCGAATGTACTTAAATAATAAAAGTGTATAAATCATAAGCATTTGCTCTTCTTCACTGAATTCACAGTCTTAGAGGAAAGAAAATATCAGAAAAATTAACTAATATAAAACTATAAGTATAAATTTAAAAATTATAACTTTTCAAAATTGTAAATAGTAAGATGGCTATGATGTACTTATTATAATAGTCAAAAATCAAAACACTGACAACACCAAGTTGGTGAGGATGTGGAAAAACTAGAACTCTATTTCATTGTTGGTAGGAATATAAGATGATAAATCCATTTTGGAAGGTAGCCTTGCAGAAAGAATAAATACTAGGCCTCCAAAATTCAAAGACTTAATCCAAAAATAGGCATTCAAAATGAATACACAGGAGCAAAGATGGTGGATAGATAACAACTGGCTACAGAGGCTCCCTGAGATAGTCAACTTAGAATTCAACATAATACAGAGTGGGGAGCCCCAAACAGAGGGAGATGAATTCTCTCATCCCAAGAAGAAATTAAGGTGAGAAGAACCAACCAAACATATAGTCCCAGTGCTCTTATTGGAACAACCAAATGTTTAGTGTTCCCGCTGCAGTGGGGGACTTGCCAATCATCTGAGGTCTCACCGTGACTTGCCGAGGTCCTGCCGTGACTTGCTGACCCATCCAAGGTCCCGCTGCTTCGACTCACAGGAGGCATAGTTACATTAAGTTTGGGGGTCGGCAAGCCGAATGGAGAGCTGAGTTGACAGGGTGCCTACATCAAGCCGTTTCATAGAAAGGGGGGCTCCAGTGGATGACTTGCTGGGATCAGACAGGACTGGCAAATACAAGGGACAGCAATGACTTCAGTCAGTTGTTCCCTTCCCAAACAGGATTGGTGGAGTGAGCTAAACCTGGGTCATGTGGCCTGGCTGAGATGAAATAGGTTATCTGAAATCAAGTCCCTACAGCAGTGGTGCACATGCTAACCCAGTGAAGTCTCAGGAGTTTGACTAACCCAGAGGGGAGGCAGTGCAAAGTAATACAAGCACAGGCCACAGTAGACTGACTGACCCAGAGGGGAGGCAGCGCAAAGTAATACAGTGCAGGCCACAGCAGATTGACTGACCCAGAGGGGAGGTGGTGCAAAGTAATACAGTGAAGGCCATAGCAGCTTGACTGACCTGGAGGGGAGACAGCACAAAGTAACACAGTGTAGGCCACAGCAGCTTGACTGACCTGGAAGGGAGGCAGTGCATAGTAATACAGTGCAGGCCATGGCAGCTTGACTGATCCAGAGGAGAGGGGCCAGCATACGCTGTCCCTGTCTGCAACTCACTAACACACTGCAGTGTGAACGGTCATCTAGCCAGTGCACTTCAGAAGAATTGTAACCAACAAAGAAAGAAACTGGGGCCTCCTGGAAGAAGCAAAAAAGATGGGAAGAGGAAGCAACAACAGAAAGTTCCCAGGTCCTGACCCTGAGAACATTGACCCAGGACAGGTAAATGCAAAGGAGAATGAGAACAGCAAACATGCATTATCAGACATGGCATCAGCGGACATAAAGAGATGTATTCGGGACCTCATAGACAAGTTCAAAAGTGAAATATTTAGCCAAGTAAAGCAAGATATAAGAAGATTAATAAAAGAGATACTAAGCACCCCTCAAGTAGACACAGACAGAAGAAAGGAGGAACTCAAAGGAAAGAACCATTTGATGAAGAATATAAAAAAATATAGAATACATGAAGCAGATTCAAAGAGATTATCAGGAAATTAAAAATTCTTTGGAAAGATGGCAAATCAGCTTGAAAGAAACTAAGGATAGATTATCCAAATTGGAGGACAATTTTGCAAAGTGGTATTTTGAAAGGGAAAACTTTTTAAAAATAACAAGGAAACAAGCAGTAACAATACAAAGGCTAGAAGACAACAAGAGGATCTATAACTTGAGAATAAAAAATGTGAATGAAGAAGCACGGGTACAAACAAAGGAACTACAAAGGTTCTTCACAGAAATAATTAAGCAAAACTTCTCAAATGTAGGAAAAGGAAATGATATTCTGATATATGAGGCATACACAACTCCAGCCACCTACAAGCAAAACAGCTACACACAGGCATATAATAATCAAGATCCCAGAAACTCAATATATGAACAGAATATTAAAAGCTGTTAGAGACAAGAAAAAGATAACCTATAAAAGGAAGGCCCATCAGAATAATGGCAGACTTCTTGATACAAACCATCAAGTCAAGAAGAGCTTGGAGCAAAATATTGCAAGCCCTGAAAGAAAATAACCTTCATCGCAGATTGATATACCCTGATAAACTGTCTCTAGAAATTAGTGGAGGAACAAGATGCTTCCAAGACAAGGAGGAACTTGAGAAATACATAACCACCAATCCAGCTCTACAGGGAATATTGCAGGGCATTCTAGAGAGAGAAAAGTACTAGGATTCCAGGAACAGTGGCAGAGAGGCCTCAATGAACAGAGCAGAGAACAGAATGAAGAAGATAAGCAGACAACTGATGGCAAAAAAAAAGAGCATAATAGAAATGAGGCAGAGAAGATTTTATTCAAAACTGATATGATTGATAGTATCAAGTCTGAGAGTATAGGCAACTGCACCGAAGATAACAAGACTCTATGATACAAATTCTGGTTTGATAACTACCAGTTTGGGAGTTCTATGCTATAGACAAAGTTGTGTTTTTATTAATACTGTTACGTACTGATATATTCAATTATGCTATGTCTGATGATATAGTCAGTTCTGTTGGAGATAACAAGAGACAACACAGGAACTATGGTTCTCCTCCTTGTACATGATTTCAGCAGTTAAATCATAGGGTGTGGTGAATGTTTGTTTGTTCTTTGCTATATGAAATTCTAAATGTTTCTTTTTGTTTGTTTTTAGTACCAGGGATCAAACTCATGACCTAGAGCTTGCTGGGCAGGCACTTATGCTGCTGAGCTAAATCTCTGGATCCAAAATTCTAATGTGCAGAATTGACTTCAGAGTAGGAAAGTTGAGGGCAACATTGTACACTCAGATACTTCCTGTCTGGCTTCCTTATCTGGCTCCTACAAATTATGCTTCTATAATACTGAAGACAGGAGTATTTCTTGCCTAATCATTTCTCTTTTTAGTCAAATGAAGACATTATGTTCATCTTTCATGGAGCTTGCTCCAAATTCTAGCTGTATAGGTGACATTATATTACATGTTTAAAAACATTTTGCTTTATAAAGAGAGAATTATCCTCTTCCTACATTTATTATAAACTAGGATAATATTTTTAAAACTTTGTTTAAAACTCTCAGGCTTTGCTTTATAAAGAGAGAATTATCCTCTTCTTACATTTCTTATAAACTAAGATGATATTTTAAGAATCATCTTGGGGTAAGTGAAAATAAAAGTTGTCAGCTTTCAATTATTCCCAGGTTACTCATCTTCAGCAAGTGTCACTGTCAGGTAAGCTTTGAAGGAAGCTGAGAAACTGAATATGGGAGAAGGTCTTTGTGTCTTGGGCATATGTTGAATTTAATCTCTGCCAGTGTCTAGCAGTAAAGTTTTGATAAATTATTAATTTAGTGATCTTATCTGTGAAGAATGAAATGCTAAGCTTATCTCAAATTGCTGTAGAATGAGAATGTGTACCATGTGTTGGCTGTTCACAAAAAGATCTCAGTAACTAAAGAACTGTTTTACCTATTCCTTGAAATACTAGATAAAACTACTATCTAGTAAGGACATATTTTTTGGTATTTATTCTTTTATTTATTAGTACATATTTGCAGTGCATGCAGTTTACAATCATCTTGGGGAGTGAATATATGTATAAAATACAATCTATTTCTTCTTTATCTCCTCTGCTCCCTTCTACCTCCATCCTCATTTAATTTCCTTTCAGTATTTTCATTCTTGCTAGTATTAGTCTTATTTAATATGTATGATAGATGATGCCTGTATTCACTGAGGTTATTAGGTTCTTGTACATGATATATTTTTATGATACTTATTTTCCTTTATCCTCCTTATCCCTCATGTTTAATCTTTTGGACCCCTTCCCTTTTGATATTATAAAGTGAAAAACACTGAAAATTGGTAAGACCCAGGAAGAACATATGAATCATCTAGTCAATATTCTTCCACAGATGGTAAAATGAACTTCTAAAGAACTTGGTAGTATTCCTTGAGCAATTATAGAAGAAAGACTTGAATTGAGCATATTTGTTTCTGAATCCAGATTGGTATCTCCCATACCACACCACTCAACAGCTCAATGTTTTTACTTCTTGACCAACAGCACATAAGAACCTTTCTTTGTACATGCCACAACTTCTCATCTTGTTTCACTTAGCAAGAGAAGGGTGTAGTGTATCATAGCATGTAGCAGAGCATTGGCGTGCCTCACAGGCTCCCCACACTACAGAGTACCTCCTCCAAGGCCTCATCCTGGATTCATACCAAAAAATGCTAGGGATTTTGTGATCAGCAAATGGTTGCCATCTGGGAGAAGCATTTCCCCACTCTTCTTTAAGTAGAAGCCCATAACTCCCAGCCTGGCAAGTAGAGAAGAAGATGTTGAATAAGAACTAGCTTCCTATTTCCATTGAGATATGAAAATGAAATATAAAACACAAAAGCTCCTTCAAAGTAAATGAGGGCTATAAAATTAGACAAGTCACATTCTTGTTCCAAAACTAGAATTAAACTGTAAACACTGACAAAGATCACTGAAATGTGCCCATCTGAATTAATAGTATTTTTAGCCTTAAAGTTGCAAA